TTTGCGTTTGTGTGGGAGCCCCGTCAAAAACATGTCCGTTATGCTAGTGGTGTCTAAGCGTTCTTTTTTTTTCTTTTCATACCGCGCAATGGCTCTGCGCTCCCCCTAGCGGGCGGGCCCCACACTTTGGGAACCTCTGTTTTATACAGTCATTGGTCTGAATCTGCTGAATTTGAATTCCCCAATCAGGAGCAGCTTGTGTCTACTCAGATTAAGCTGTTTGGTTTCTCCGACCAAAACACAGAAGAATTTGCTGCTGAGATACCAAGAAACAAATGGTTGCCACGCACAGGTCCCACTGTCAACTTTCTCCACTTCTTCTGGCACAAGGATAGTGACGTCAGTGGCACTTTTGGCTGTCTCCTGCCGTGCAGCCTCCAGCCTACGATGAGCCATCAGAGAAGCAGCACAGAGGCATGGTGTTGATACAGTTAACTTTGTGGATGATGGTTTCGTGTCTGTACCATCTAAAGATGATGCAGCTGACCACTTGCAGTGAACAAAGAACTCACTTGCTGATTCAAACATCTGTCTACACAGCTTTGTGTTGAATAGACAGTCAGTTACAGAAGAGCTTTCTCTGGAGGACAGCTTCAGTGACCAAGGATCTAGATTTCAAAACAGAAGCAACACTAAGCTGTAGCAGATCAGATTATTAAGACTCTCTTTCGTCTCCTATTTCCAGTGCCACCACTAACAGTCCTCTCCCTCTGTTTCAGAAAACCACGCTTGAACCTCACGCACCACACGCTTCCCCTAAGTGTGTAGCTCCACACTTGAGTATCCCATCAACCTTATCCCCCGTGACTCTTATTGTGTTCTGTAATAAAGTCTTGTTGAATTTAAGAACAGGCTTGCAGGCCTACCATTGACAGTGCGAACTTGAATGAATGCACCCAGATCTAGATCCAGCCCGAGCAGCCATCTCAAAACAGGATTCTGTACTGGGCGCCCATGAACAGTCTATTCAGTTTCTAATGATGCGATGGTCAAGAGAAAATTCTCACTTCATAACAAAGCCTTCAACCCGTTTCTGTCCCTAATGCCATTCCTTCCGCACCATTGTCCCTCCCGTCTTGATCCCCCTCAGTTATCCAATTCCACAGAGTCGCTATGGGTTTTTCTTTCTTGGTTTTTTCTCCACGCTCATTTCCCAGCAATGACGCAAAATTATCTTACCTGGTGGGCAAGTTGAGGGGGAGGGCATTGACGTGGGCCAAAGCTTATTTATCCACTCAGTTGGTTCTCAGTCACACCAGAACCCATGCAGATTGGCCGCTCCTGGCTCACTCGCGAGACACGTGAACATTTTCACGCATTTGAGTGATTTTATTGTGGGTCCTCCGGCCATTTCCTGGCTAATTGTCCCAAATGTCTGCTGTTGTGATGATTGTGATGTGATGGCTGCTCTTAGACCCACTAGGCACTAAGCATTGAAGTGTGCTGGTCATTCGCTGCTAGCTAACTGGGTAAGGGCGTCATGGGTCTGTGGGTCTGTCCACTGTTTTAGAGAACATATTTAGTTTTAAAGTAAGTAAGTAAGTAAAGTGACTCACTGATGTGAAGGAAAACAGACAAACAGAGACACCACCTACAATCAGGGAGAGCGTGACAGAGCAGAGGGAAACGTAGCTGACACTAATCAGAAAACTGAACATAACACACATGAAATAGACTATCAGAATAAAACAGGAAGTACAAACACAGAGACAAAGACCAAGATGCATGGGCTTGACACAGGAGCTGGGGAGAACACAGACAGACATGGGTACATGACTGGGAAGGCTGGAAGATGCAGAGATGTGACTATGGAAGACTGAGGTCAAGAGACACCAAGTAGAACATAAACCAGGACCATGACAGCTTTTAATCTGTTACCTTAATTTTATTAAGTAAATAGGGTGTATGTTTTATTACAGTGCTTATTTATTAAGTCTTCAAGATAATTTAAGAGTATTTCAATCATTTTCACAAAGAATACTGCGAGATCCCTTAAAGACAAAAACAAGTGAATTGTTTTAAATAGTTATTGATGGTGTAACAGCTGTGATTGGACAAGGGCAAGAAAACTTAGAAGGGATGTTAGCAGTTACATCAGCCACAAAGTAATTACATAATTGTGTATATAAGTCCTTTATCCTTTCATCACTTACTCCATATACACCTTTATAAACATATGTGAAGTCTTTTCAGACAACATATACACATATATATGTATATGTTGTCTGAATAGTTTGCGCTCATGATTAAAAACAAGCAAACAAAAACACGATTTTTATACGTTATTCAAATTGCACAGTATTCTAATCAACACTTCATTGATAAATCCAGACATTCAAACCCTACACTCGCAGCAGATCTTATCACTATACTACTGTGATGGGATTATAAGATTACAAAAATACAATAAAGCCATAATAAATAGCACTGGCCAAGACCACCATGTCTTATGGAATTAATAAACACTTTAAATAGAACATAGCAAAGTCCCAGATCTGACTGAGTCCTCTACTTTTTTCTACAACAGAGGTTTACAACCACTGCACCAAAACTATACCAACTACGGTGTATTGTTAGTGTCAGCTAAATTTATAAAAACTGGAAGTTCCTGTTGAATCATCAATCAATTGGTTGAATCATTTTTGCAACTAAGAGACTATAAAAGGTAAGAATGTAACCAATATGAAAGCTTTCCTATTTGAGTGCTGTCTGAATGCCACAACTGTATAGGCCATTTATCCTCTTTTCTCACCTTTGGCAATAATAATAATAATAATAATAATAATAATAATAATAATAATGATATGGACATTTTCATGTCAAGCACTCCTCCTCCCCTAAGGTCAAGTAACAATAGGAAACAGCAGATCTTTTACAGGAAAATCAGCCACAATCACCTTTTTCTACAAAGGTTGAACACTGTGTAAAATGTCTTTAAAAACAGTATAAAGTCAATATACTTGAACTGAGACACAGTTTGCTCTCAGTTCATTTTGGTTTCAACACACACACACACACACACACACACACACACACACACACACACACACACACACACTTTCATGACATCTGTGACGGCAGCAAAACCAAACCAAGCCAAGAGAACAACTGGGATATGTGGTGCTTGTTTGAAGAATCTACGAGTTACCTTTTCTTAACTCTTTCCGGTTTATTTTTTTATTAGCTCAGGACATAACATAAAGTCATTTTGTGTCTGGCAAGTTTTAAAATTAGGTCATGATTTTGCAAAGATGTGCAAATCTCAAAAACCCATATTTTTCAATCTTTAAAACAATGGTTTTCCATCAGGACCAGACCAGATCTGAAGGCATCCATTAAGCATGTACCAAAGTGAAAGCAAAACCTTTCATGTTTCACAACTGCTTCTTGTCTGTTTGCTTCCATTGTTCACATTACTACCATTTTCTAGCTGAGACTGGCTGTTGTTGCTGAAAGCTGCTCTTGCCTTGGATCCCATTTTTAAAATAAAGTGTTTCTTGATTTCACAGGTGTGTAAGTGTCTCCTTAACAAACACTGGAACCTGTCAAGCTGAGAAGGCTTTTTCTGGTTGTTTGTGCATGCACATTGTGGATAAACCTCCGGTCTTTGATGGTAGACTGATGGGAGATGAGTGTGCAAGACAAGCTGCCACTGACCTTTTGTTATGGAAGGGCGTACATGTTTCAGCAACACAATGCTAAGTGGCACGCTGTGTCTATTAAAACAGCAAGGCTTTATAATAAAAGACGTCTGTGTATCGGCTGCCTGAACAGGTTTTCTCTCCCAAAAGTCCAACAACTAGTTTCCTACGTTCCCAGACATTTATGGACTCAATCATTTTGGTACAATTCTCAAAGCAGAAAAATTACTCATATTGCAGTTTTCTCTGCAACTCACAGACTCAACAAAAGACAGCAACAATCGAAAGCTTCACCATATATGTCAAAACATGAGTCAGTCAGTCCCTTCAACTGATGAATGATTGAAAACTTTCACAACCATTTTAAGACTAAGACATTGAAATGATTTTTACTTTTTCAGAAGCATCACTCTTTTCTGTAGCTATTTCATTATACAATCATTCAATATTTCATAGTATTTATCAATGATAAGAACAGGGATGATTTTATCTTTTATAAATATTAATCAACTTTGTTAGTATCCCCAGTAAAGCCAAAGCACTTTATTTCAACAGTTTTGCAATAAATCCATGTAAACTCTAATTAGGAGTGATGCAGTTCACTGTTGATGATGATGTCCAGTGATTTTATATCATTTTTAGATGATTTTCAGCAACAGCTGTATGGGCAAACTGTGAGTTCCTCCATTCAGTAAGTAGTTGGTCAAACTGCTTTCTGTATAAACATGAATATCATAATCATATATGGTGATTCATGTCAGACTCGCACTGATATCTACAGTATATGTGTTTGGACATGGTTTCATGGTGAGGATGGCACAAACATATACAGCTGGGTGAAAAAAAAGAGTTAAAGGTGGAGTAGGATTATAATAATATAATAAAGTGTTGTTATTATAATATTTATTAGAATTAAACTGTTTTAGTTATTCATGTAATATGTACAAGATAGTATTCCATTTGTATTTGTGTGGAGCTATTAAATACTGTAAAACTAGTGTCACTAAAAAAAGAAAAAACACACTTATTACTTATTAGTCTGCTTGAGTTGCTTGGTCATCTTTAATTGTAAATTGGCTTTTATCACTAAATCCTGCCAGTTGTGATCACGTGGTACTCATTATGTTTATTACTGGCAATCTTAGAAGCAATTAAAATGGACCAAAATGGACTGAAGCATTTTTCTAGTCTGACTGACAGCTCAGTAAGCTTTCACTCACTAAACAACAGCTCGCTATATAGGAATCAGTTCATTCACCATTTACCATAATGCAAGTACAGAAATGCATGGTTGGTTGGTGCACAGAACCCCAACCTCAACCCCATCAAACACTGTTGGGGTGAACTAGAATGGAGATTGTGACACAGGTCCTCTCTTCCACCATCAGTGGCTGATCTCAGGTTTGCTATTCTAGACGAATGGGCAAAACTTCACACAGACACGTGAAAAACCTTGCAGAGAGGTTTCCCAGAAACGTGGAAGCTGTGGAAGCTCAAAGGACAGACCGACTCCATATCAATGCCTATAACTGTGGAATGAGATGTATTAAAAGCTACTGAAGATAAAGTGTGTAGGTGGCCCAACATTTTAGTCCATATAATGGATCTTCTAATTAAGCAATTAATCTGACCTAACTGTGTGCTTGTATTGAAGTTCTACATGCTAAGTTGGTAAGTGCAATAATACTGTTGCTCTTTGCCATAAGAGACTGTAAACAGTTCTGTTTCTCTGGATTCTCTAAACAATGAAAAGCATACAAAGACCAGGTTCACTCACTTTGGCATGATTGGCTGTTGTCAGTATTACTTGCTGTAGCATCAATTAGTGCTAATAGCTCTTCTAGTGAAACAAATAAAATGAAAAAAACTAAACAACTGCAAATAGCACAGGTATTTATAACAATTGTTATCATACTACCTACTTTAAATTGTGCAAATTTCTGTAGAGTGCAATCAACAAGTACCTGATACATCAGTCCAATAATCCTTTCCCTGAAAATAAAATATGAGCCTTGATTATAGGACAACACCATATGGAGTTTAGCATCTTTCACGTAAAACAGTGTTTTCTTAAACCAAGCTGCATAAAGTGCAAAGTTCCAATACTAGAGCCCTGGCTCAACTACCAGGAAGTCAATGTGTCCCTTTTCTTTTGTCTTGAAGGCTTCAGCGATGATCCTGGCAGCATCTTTGTGTTCCCGGCCTTGCAAGGGGATGCCATCAACCTCCAGAATGACCTGGCCAGTTTTCAGCTGGCCGCAGTTATGAGCCGAGCCTCCTTTCTGTCAGCGGGAACATGAGAGAAGAATAGAAAGACAATAATGTTAGCAGGATTAAGGCACTCATGGACAGAACAGTTTGTTGTTCTTGAAGTTACAGTACAGTCCAAGGCAACTACAGCTTGAAACACACTTGGACTGAATTTAAAATATAAATAAAAGTTTATGATTAGTTCAATAAGGCAGATGTGTAATCACACATCTACCTGCTTCCCTCGTGTCTGGTGACTAATTCATGCGTCACATTTTCCCATGCTTTCAAACTCGTTGCTGACATCACTGGTCCAGTCAAATCATCTTTCAGCCTTCTTCAGCCTCCACTCTGCACACTTTAAATCTCACTGTTCATCTGTTCGTCTACCTTGAAGATGTCGCTCCCATATAACTCAGGCTCCATTCAAGCCTCCATCTTGATCTCCACCACCTGCATCTAGACGCCAGGGTTTCCTGCGCTCATTCCTATCACTGCTGGAATTCCATTCTGCTGTGACGGGACATTACTTGCCAGTGAAAAGTTTGTTTATAAGATTGGGGAAACCTGCAGTCAGCTGAGACTGAAGAAGTCACCTGGGTGAGTGATGAAACGTGACTATGGTGAACCATGTCGGGGCTTGTTGCTGTCCAGCTCTTCACTCTTCATCTGGGATGTCTGCCACTGTGATGATTACTGGGCCCTGTTCAGCGAGGTTGCTGTGGTCTGTTCTTAGATCCACTAGTCACTCAGCATTGCTGTTATGGGTTGCGTCCTTCTCCCATATGCTCTACCAGTATTGCTTCGTCTCCAGCAGGGGTCGGCAACCTTTCTGATGATGAGTGCCATCTAACATTTCCTCAGAAGTCAATGGAAAATGCAGCTCCATGAACACGCACAGCTGTGGATTCCAGCTGTCCTCGTAGTTCTGCAAACTTTGACCCCACAGAGTCGAGCTTTTCAGTTCAATCAGCTGCATTTCAATGTCCTCTGTGTCCAACCAGTTAATGCCAGACAAATCCAGCTGCTCATTAAAGCTTTCTGGTTTGATCAGAAAGAAAACATTGGTCCAAACACCTGAAAGTCCCAAAAACACACTGTGAATTCTGTCCTGAGTCTACGGATGTATCCGTGTATTTCCGCGGTGCTGATGCTGCGCTGAGCGAACAGCTGCTGAAGCATTTGAAGTGTCTGAATGTGGAAATTTCAACATCGCTTGAAAAAACTGCCAGCTAGCAACGTCCCTCTCACCGGTAGGCGAAGTTATTTTTAGCCAATTACAAGTTGAATCTGGTAGTTGGGGTTGTTAGCTAAGATACCGTCATTAAGAAGCGGCACAACTAATGTGTCTATGCGAGCTGATTTGCGATGTGCACCGCTGGCCCGGCCATTTATTTTTGAATGCACCTTCTCAGATTAATTCACTGCGTGTCGTGCGCAGGGCTGGACTGGGACAGAACATCGGCCTAGAGACCGCCCCCCCAGGTATTACAGCCATAAAGCCTTTGAATGAAAACAGACGCTGTGGTGACAGTGATGTACAGTCTTGTTGGTATATGTGTGATTTCTATACATTTACATCAGATAAAAACTTTGGTTGTAAGATTCAGATAATTATTTTTTAAAAGCGAGACATTTTAAATGAGAATAAGAAAGAAAAGTATTTCTTTGTGCCCCCCTCTCCCTGTTAATGCCCTACCTGCCCCCCTGGCAACACTTTGCTAGACCCGCCCCTGCACAGTTACCAGCTGTCAGCTGTAAAAAAGGATCCTGGTGTTATTTGTCTCTCAGAAACAGTTCATAACTTCAACTCATTCATGTCACCTAAAAGGTAAACCTGTTTCTCCATCACCTGTTCAGCTCTGATGATCCAGTAAGGACATCTCCTGGTTTCATCTTCATGTTTCCCTCTCACCACATATCCAAACCATCCTGACCAGCAGCTTTACAGCTGTGGCTCCAGCAAACATCAGCTGATACTAGAAATTAATATTAAATAAATTCTAACAACAGCTGATCAAGCTTAAACGTGCTGCTGTTGTTTAGCGCGACATCCGCTGGTTTCCTCTTTCTGGCGCAAAGTGAGCGATAAACAAACAAGAGAGCCGATCAGCTGATCATTGATCAGTTTCATGATTGAAGTAGAAACAGGAGAGGGAGGGGAGAGAATGAGAGAAGAAGAGGCAGCTGTGCAGCAAAGACAGAATAACTCCAGCTGATTCTGAACACAATGGTGTTCAGAATCAGCTGGAGTTGTAGCTGAAGTCCGGGACAAACTGTGTTTCTTCTCAGCTCAATACGAAACGCGTAATATTTTCTCTCAATGCAGGACGATTCCGTTTTTTACGGGACGGTTGGAAACTCTACTAACAAACCTTATGTTCACTGTCAGTAACATCATAGCACACACCCAGCTGTACAGAAACTCCGTCATGCTAGCTAGCACGCAGTACGAGTTATTGTAACTGACTGTAAAAAGTCAGCACAAGGAAAATAAACTCCACCTAAACGTGGTTTATATCTGACCCAGAGAGACTGCAGGTCATAACTTCTTACCTGAAGTTCAGTTCACCTGACACTCGGACCGGCGGCCGCCTCGGGGCTCTCCTCCTGCCTCCCCTTCCCTCATCCACCCGCTGGCCTCTGTGGAAGCTCCGCCACAGCCACCACCAAACAACTGACTTATTTTTACACACCGGCCAGCATCTGCCCAATCCACCACCTTTTATTGTTTATACCGCTACAAAAAAACCCCAAATCCCCCAAAACAAAAAAAAAATCATTGGCCCATAAAAACAAAAAATCACATCGCCCCACCGGGCAAATGCCCGGTATGCCCGATTGCCAGTCCAGCTATGGTTGTACCATCAGTTAACCCTTCACGTGTCAGCTGTGGCACACGTGCCCAGGGTTGCCAACCCCTTGGTGGTGCTGTTCTCATATTGTTACCTGCCACAGAGTACACCTTGGCTGCTTCTGTGAAGAACGGCTGGTTTATTCTGCTGCTTTCTATTTTTCTGGTGTATGTCTTCAAGCGGCTGGCCAAGGCTGTGAGACTTTGCTTTGCAGTTTCCAAGGCCTCAGTTATGGACAGCTTGCTGCACTTCTTGGGCACCTCCTTTGTTGCACCTTTCAGCAGCTCCGATAGTTGGCTACCCCCCGTTCTACCTTGATCTTGGCCTCTAGTCTCCTTCTGCATGCAGGGTGCTGCTCCTTGTTCAACTTGTAGCTAAGCTTCTCACTGATTGCTGCTGCCATGCTGTAGATCAGCTTGTTAGTCTCAGTAATGGTGGTGGTAGATATCTTCCATAGTGCTGCATTCACATCATCTACTAGATCTTCTGAGGGTACATAGCAATACCGAATGAGAGCAACATCAGGAAGAAGGAACACAAGAAGCTTGAAAAGCATCAAGGGCTCAGAGAAGATAAGAGGGTGGAGGTAACAGTGGTCCCAGTGGTAATCGGAGCACTCGGTGCAGTGACTCCCAAGCTAGGTGAGGGGCTCCAGCAGATCCCAGGAACAACATTTGAAATTCACGCTTGAAGGATGGATCACCCACAAGGGCGAGAGAGGATTTTCTTTTAATGTTTTACTGTTTTTTGCAGTTTCAGTACATTTTGTTGCTTGGAAGACTTTAAACAGTGACTTACTTGAAACCTTCTAATGCTTTCTTACCTGAATGGAGACTATGCGAGGCAAAGGTTGGCGTGTACTTCCTCCACCCTCTATTGCGATGCCCAAGGTGTTTGAATTTTTCAACACTCGTACCAGCACAGCAGTAGGCACTGGTACAGGTGAAGGAGACTGCTGGGAAACAAAGCAAGGAGAGCTAAGAAAAATGTATTTGTGAGCAAGAAGTAGCATCTTACTGCATGCAATTTAGCCACTAGCTTGTAGGTGAACACCTGAAAATCTCAATATAGTAAACATTTCATTTTCTTCAGGTGATGGAGCCTTATTTACACGTCAATGAGTCTGAGTCTAATGTTACTGTGTTCCCTTTGTTTTTCCTCACGTGTTCTAGCCTAATGCTAATAACAAGATTTCCTTTGAATTCAATAAAGCTTTTAAGAGTTTTGTTTAGGTGCCCACAAAGTAACTTCAGGTCTTAAGATCACAATCATAGACCGTTATATAAGCGGTCACCAAGGAGATTACTTTAATCTCCCTCTGCTATTTCAGTTTTGCCGAAGCCTTTCTTCAACACAACTAAATAAGCTCTGATTGTTTCTCATCTCTCCAGAATATTTTCATCTTATTTGTATTTGTTGCTAATGCGGCTCTTCATAGTTTTTATTATCTTCTTTTTGTCAACAAAAGGTTTTTGCCAAAAACTATGATAGAAATGTTTTGGTCAATGAAATTAACACTGGCTTGCACACAGTGATATATCAGTATGACATGTCATCTCATGGGATACTCCATAATGAATCACATCGTTATATCTGCTGTCATTTTGTTGGTAAGAACTTGTGGTTGTAGTTTGCAAACTTGACCGATTAAAATAGAAATTAAAGCAACAAAAGAGGTGATCCAGTGAATTCTGAAATCACAAACTAAAACTGGGTTTACACCAGCACTAATTTGCTTGTTTTGAACACACTGAAAGATATGCTACTGAAAGATTGCTTAGTAATGAAAACCCTCACTTGTCTGCCAATCCCTGGAGAAAGTGCATGAAATCCTGGCTGTTCCAGATGGGTCCGGTGAGTTTTGCTAGGTCGTGGGCTGCCATCTTTACTGAAGCCTCCTGCCTCTGCTATATCCACCCCGCTGTCCTCACTCAGAGTCTGGCCGCTGTCTGACAACTGTGACAGGGTGGCCCCTGGGGGGAGGAGTTAGCTAGCATACACTGAATTTAATTAAAATTTAATTATATAGAAAAAAAGCGCTTTGGCGACAGTGGGAAAGAAAAACTCCACAGGAAGAAACCTCCAGCAGAACCAAGCTCGGGGAGGGGCGGGGCCATCTGCCACAATTGTTGGGGTGAGGACAAAGACACACCGTGGAAGAGAGCCAGACATTAATAGTAACTAATGTTTATATGCAGAGAGGTTTCTAAACACACAGTGCGTGAAAAAGGTGACTGAAGAAGAAACATTCACTGCATCATGGGAATCTCCCAGTAACCTACACCAGTTCCAGCAGAACTAATGGAGCATTGAGGATCACCGGATCCAACCTAAACTCTGTGCTTTATCAAACAGGAATGTCTTAAGCCTAATTGTCATGGTCCCTGTGTCCCCGGCTGGCTCAAACAGGCTACAGGTATTTGTTGTTGTTTTTCCCCCTCGCTCTCTCTAGCCTGGGCGATTGCTCACTTGTGGCTCATTATTCCCGCCTCTCCTGGCCAGCATTCAAGACGGTGGCTCGGTGTTTCTCGTCACTGGAACGTTAAGCAACTATCCTAGTGTTGCCCGGCTGTAAAATTATCTCCTGTGTTTCCTTCGTGGCTTTCCTAGTGTTGATTCTCTCATCTGTCTCCATGACTAGATTCCCTGGTTTGTTTGTGTTTCCCATCCCTGGACTACCTGCGCGTGAGTGTGTGTGAATTACAAGTGTGGCGTGGCAGAAGAGGAGTGTGTGTGGAATTTCCCTCACCATTGCTCCGCCTCCCATTCTACTTTTAAATACTCTAGGAACAACAAGTAGGCCTGCAGCGTGAGAGCGATGTGCTCTAATAGGGTGATATGGTACTACAAGGTCATTAAGATAAGATGGAGCCTGATTATTTAAGACCTTGCAGCCAGGGATGCAGAAGAACATCAAGAAGGCCCTGAGTAGATGTGGTTATCCCAGCTGGACGTTTGTCAAAGCTGGAAAGGCTCCTAAAGAAAGCTCCAGCTGATCCAGGAGAGAAGGACAACCGCTGCCCAAGTGAAAACCTGCAGTGATCCCGTACGTGTCAGGAGTATCGGAGCAGCTGAGACGCATTTTTTCTAAACACCGGGTGTCTGTGACCTTTAAACCCCAAAACACACTGCGCCACAAACTGGTCCACCCCAAGGATCGGGTCCCCGACACAAACAGAGTAACATAGTGTACGCTGTTAAGTGCAGGAGGATTGCCAGGATTTATACATCGGGGAAACCAAACAACCGCTGGCTAAGAGGACGGCACAACACAGAAGAGCCACCTCGTCAGGCCAGGACTCTGCAGTCTATGCACACCTACAGGCCAGTGGACACTCTTTCAATGATGAGGATGTAACATCCTGGACAGGGGGGAGCGCTGGTTTGAGGGCGGAGTCAAGGAGGCCATTTACGTGAAAAGGGAAAGACCATCTCTGAATGGAGGAGGGGCCTAAGGGTACATCTGTCACCATCTTACAATGATGTGATTGCAGCCATTCCCCAACTCTCTGTGAATGGGACTCATGGACATTGATCAGAGGTACATTGTGCAAATGTCCTGTTTATAAGGTTGTGTAAACCTGCAGTCAGCTGAGACTGAAGAAGTCACTTGGATGATGATGAAATGTTTCTCCCACTGAACATGTCCAGATGAACAGAACCAACTTTTGGGGATTTCCTCCCCTGGATGATTGAGCACGCATTAAGATATAAGCAGGGCAACCGCCTACATGTTTCTAGTCACAAAACATGTGTTGTTCTGGTTATTACTAATACATTTTACCTTACAAGTTGAGTGTTTCTCTGTACTGAGAAACAACACAAACACACAGAGACACAGACTGTGTACCTACTTAACTCCAAGTTACCCCCAATGGATCCATCAGAGAATGTTGGTTAAAAGTGCTTGGGCATAGACAAAAGCTTTTAAACAAAAGTGTGTCTGAATGGGTGAGTGAGACATGCTTTAAGAACATTTGTGTGCTCAAATACAGCAGAAAAGTATTACATACACACCATTTACCTCTTTGCTGTGGTCTGGCATCTGCTGATAGCCGGTTCATTTCTGTTACAATGACTTTCTGTGTGAGAGCAGGTGAGCAGCGTTGGTCAGCGCTGAAGGGTGGAGCAGCAGGCGTGATGAGAGAGGGGCACGGGGACGGACATGGTGAGGGATGGTGAGATGGTTGAGGGGATGGCAGGGGAGTTGCTGCTTTTGAAGAGGATGCAGACATTGACAAGACGGAAGACTTTTCATAGGAGCTGGATCTAGAAGAGAACTTGATAGATGCCTCTGGTTTAGCAGAGCTGGGCAAGTCCCGGTAATGCACGAAACCTGGGCAGGTGTGGTGACCTGAAATGGGCTGGCTATGATGGTGGACATGGTAATCAAAATGGGGATTATTGTGGTGTTCAGAATCAGAGAGCTGGAAGGAATTCTGGCAGGTGTGTTGAAGGGAATTAAGGGAAGTGTAGTGGGTGGGACCAGGGCATGCATGGTGGGGGGAGGCTGGTTTTGGCTGGTGTTGGCTGGTGGGAAGGGATTTGATAGGCTTGTGGGGACAGTCCTGGAGTAAATGGGTGGGACCAGTGACGAGCAGGCAAGAAATGGGCTGCACCACTTTGGCTGAAGGCTTGCAATTGAACTCTTTCTCCGGGAATGGTCTTCTTTGAGCCTGGACAGAAGCAGCTCTGAAGGGTGGAAGAGGTTCACTTGAAGCCTGCGTTTCATCCTGTCATTCAGAAAAAGGCAGTGACATACAAAAATCCAACATCAATAGTGAATGTTGCCTCTTTAATCATTATCTTTAAGATTTTAGATCTTGTATATTTAGAAACACAGCTTGTCACGGACTAATGACTTTTTCAGAAAAATAAAATGAGAACATCTGTAGCCATCACATGGTGCGTGTTGAGTACAGAGAGTCAGAACAAGGTTAGATTAACGTAAAGACAGAAAAACATGTATTTAAGAACTGTTAATTATGTAAAGGCGGATAAACTGTTAGATATTTGTACAAGCAAATGCAGTGATGTGAAAAAGTGTTTGCCCCCTTCTTGATTTCCTGTTTTTTTTGTATGTTTGTCACACTTAAATGCTCCAGATCATCAAACAAATTGAAACAGTAGACAAACATAACACAAGTAAACACAAATTGCAGTTTCTAAATGAAGGTGTTTATTATAAAGGGGAAAATATCCAAACCTATGTAGTGAAATCTAAACTAAAAAAAGGAACAACTGATTTCCACCAAAACCTAATAACTGCAACAACCTTAGCTGTTGTTTGTTGTGTAAGCGCAGATGACAGTCAGGACCTGTTCTCTGATCCGAAGGGTCTGGGGCACCTCTCAACCTCACGCACCTGCTCAGGCTCCTTCCCCACCAGAGAGGTGATGTTCCATGTCCTAATTGCCAGCCTCTGCCCTTGGCCACCACCCGGCCCACACTGCACCCAACCCTTACGGCGCATCCTGCGGGTGGTGGGCCTATTGGAAAGTTGGCCCATGTCCCTTATTTGGGCCACACCAGGCCAGGACCCATTGGCTAAGGCCCAGCCAGCAGGTGCTCTTCCTTGGGCACCCTCCCCAGGCCTGGCTCCAGGGGGGTACCCAGGTAATTCTATCTCGGCCAGAGTGAACTGTTCCCTTGATTGTGTGCACATAAGGGTCTAGTGAATCACCCTTTGTGTGGTTCCTCATCCAAGACCAATTTGCCATGGGAGAGACCCTACCGAGGGGCAAAAGCCCCCTATCGACATAGCCCCGGGGATTCCTGGGACACACAAACCCTTCACCATGACGATTACTTCACTTCACTTCAAGACAAGTCAAAAGATTAAAGGCATTACACCACACAATGTACTTAAAATAAATAAATAAAGGACCAACCATAGCAGGGATGGTTTGCTCTGCATCATGGATCACAGGGGCTATATGGCTACAGTGGCCCTGAGACTGCCACACTTCTAGGCCTCCACGCCAGGACTGGTGAGACTCCCTTCCATGTTGCAACACCAGTCTATCATACACGTCCAGATCCTGTGGCGCCACCAGTCTCCTCATCTCAGACAACATGGACAACTGGCAGAAAGAAGAAGACAAAACAAAAAAAATAAGATATGCTTATAGTACAGTGAAGAAAGGATTATACAGACATGGAGTCAGGTGCTGTGTAGCGATGTACCTTTGCATGTGTATTGAAAAGCTCAAACAGAGCCATGGTCAGAGACTCTACTCCTATATGTCCTTCTTGGTACTCCTGCAGGTAGTAGGCCATGGTTTGCCTCTCTGGATCTGTCAGCAACATGTAGGCCTGCTGTTCCAGTGACACCTGAGCACTGGGTGGGCCCACACCTCTGTATCCTGCTGGCTGGATGGAGCAATAGTTTGACAAGTGAAAAATGATGGAATCAAATATAGGAGAGATGAAACATGTTGTCATTGTGTCTAATACTACAAGGACTGTGACATGCAATGGAAATTCTTCATATACTGCTGAGTTATAAGAAACACTGTTTTCAGAGAGTCATCACCTTATTTGTCTTATTAGAAAAGAACAGAACAGACTGCACAGGAAGCCAAGGTCATAACTCAGGCTCACTGAGAGAGAAAGAATGTGGATGTTTAGGTTTTATGACGGGGGGCTGAAGCTATAAGAATGTGAGGAACGCTCAGACACTTCGAGATCAGGCGGACACCCTCCCGCGCTCATCTCCCCTCCGGATGGTTATTGCGCAAAAGTGTTGTATGGAATAATGAGAATTGTGTGGAATAAAATGATTGTGGATTGAGAATTATACACCGAGTGTTGTCCTTCCTTCAGCCCAAAGATGAAAGAATTGGGAGGTTTTAACAGAACAACACAGGTTGACCAAATGTGCTTATAAATAAATTGATTGATAAGTTCAGTTCACCTCAGTTCAAGTTGATTTGATTTATACAGCACAACAGTATACCAACATATGCCTCACAGGGGTTATTTTCCAAGGCTCTATAGATTGAAGGATTTGTTGTGACCAGTCATCAGTACTTGTCATGACCTAATATCTTTTAGATGATATTAGGTCATTATTAGGTCATAATTACAATGATTTCTTAACCTCCTAAGACCCGAACTCTTTCATGGCATTTTTAATTTCTCTTTGCTATTTGGGCTGATCTGGACCTGAAGAATATAAATAAAAGAAATTACCAGATTATCTTATTTTTAAAAATGGGTTTTCGATAATACAGTAGCAGTATAATATCAGGCCCTTGTAGAGCAAAATTTTGTATTTTGGTCTAGACAACCCAAATTGTGATGTCCACATATGTGGACGCCAGGTCCTAGGAGGTTAAAGAAGCACCCAATCATTGCTGGATTCTGCCTGCACTTATTGTCCTCCAAGGGCTGCTGACATGGAAGTGGTTTCTCAAAAGGCAAATATGGCAGAATACACAACAACACTATATTAGTGAAAAGAGTAAAAGTGCATTCCTTTATAGAGGGAATAAAATATAGGAGAAGGTATTTTGCTCTTTTTTTATCCACTTTCTTCTTATTCTTCTGTCAGCTAGGGTTGCTGACAGAAGAATATGAAAGGAAGCAGATTATCTGCTTCCATCTCACCCTATCCAGAGCATCTTTTCTGTTACACCAACCCTCTACATACCCTCTTTTACTAGATCCATGAACCTCCTCTGACGTCTTTTTTCTTTTAATATTGACTGGCGACTCTATTTTCAAATTCCTTTGTCCAACATATCCACTTTCCTCCTCCTCCATGTCCAAATCATGTCAGTATGCTTCTCTAACTGTCTCCAAACCACTGAAACTGAGCTGTCCCTCTGATATGCTCATTTCTAATATAGTCAATACTGGAACTCTTGATCTTGAGATTAGCCACCTAAAACGTAACTCTTTGAAGGCCATTTCTACCACTTATTTTTGTGTAAAGCTAACTGAACCTTGCATAATATAATATAATATAATATAATATAATATAATATAATATAATATAATATAATATAATATAATATAATATGGGCTGTCAAAGTTAACGGGATAACAATGTGTTAGTGCAAAAAAATGTTAACACCTTTTTTTTTTTGACGTGGAATTAACGCACTCACACACCTGCGGTCTCTGACCTTTGGCACAGTTACCTTTTACCTGTGACCTTTGGCACAGTTACCTTTTACCTGTGACCTTTGGCACAGTTACCTTTTACCTGTGACCTTTGGCCCGCCCAGTTTTTTTTCTGGAAATCAGGAAGCGACGCATGCAGCAGTTGTAGATGTGAGCAGAAATGGATAAAGAAAAAGGTCTTTTGAACAGCAAGTTCAATTTTAAAGCAATGCCATATGGTTGTCTTGACAAGACCAAAGTAATTTGCATTTGCTGTTGATGTGAACTGTGTTATCACCGCAGTACGTCCAGTCTCAAATACCGCTTGCTAGCCAAGCACACAGCTAACGCAGAGAGCCCTCCTCCCTCTCGCCAAAGGCACACCACGCTGGACAGCTTTCAGAGGAGATGTCTGGACAATTCTACAGCTAACAAACTTTCAACAGCCACAGCAAAATGGGTGGCTACAGCTTGCAGGCCGATTAACATTGTGGAGGAGGAGGGGCTACTTGAAATAATTCGCATAGCATCCAACAAATCCACGCATGAATTGCCTTCAATAGCTACCACTGTAACCAAGATACACAACTTGTATGAAGATGAGAAAGTCGAGGAGGCTTTGGGGCAGACCAACACGGTTGCACTCACCGGAGGCCATTGGACTTCTCTAGATATTCACAGTTACCTTGGGGTAACAGCGCATTATTTTTCACCACAGAGGGAACTTCAGTTGCATGCTTTGACTGTTATGAAGATGGAGGAGAGGCACTTCACTGACACGTGCGCTGAGCACTTTATGCAGCTAGCTAGACAGTGGGGAATTGAACATAAGGTCAGCACGCTGACCACTGACAGTGCACGCAACATGGTCGCAGCGGCAGGCAGCTGCCGTTTGAGCACATGCCTTGCATCACACACAGCCTCCATCGAGCCATCACAGTTTCTCTACAGAACAGTCCATTTAACAGCACACTGACAAAATGCAGAAAGGTCAAAGGCCATTTCAAGCATAGCCCACCAAACGTACTGGAACTTGAAAAACAGCAAATTGCACATTTTCATAAGAAAGAGTCACTCAAGAGTCACACAAAGGCTCTAAACAGTACCCTGGAGATGATCAGGCATGTTTTAAAAATCAAAAACCACTGAGAGATGCACTGGCACTACATCCAGCCAATGTTACAATACCAACAGCAGCTGAACTGGAGAAACTGAGGAAGCTGGACACTGTGCTGGAACAGGTAACTTATTAATACTTACTCTTACCACTTCTGACATAGGAAAGTGTGTGTGTGTGTGTGTGTGTGTGTGTGTGTGTGTGCGTGCGTGCGTACGTGCGTGCGTGTGCGTGCGTGTGTGTGTGTGTATATAAAGCATTTTAACCTTATGTGAGTGAATGTAGCAAATTCTTAATGAAGTCTATTTCTCTATAACTGCTGGTATATAACTGAACTTTTGGGAGGGGAGAAGTTTGTCTCCTGCTCAGTGGTGCTGCCAACTTTGTGTCACCTGTCGCGAGTGATGGAGGTCTCTGAGGATGACCCAGCTTAAGCTGGGCAAACACTGCAATTTTTTCAGCCGCGTTATTCAGCTTCTGCTCAAACTGTACGATTGACTCGCAGGGGTTAGAAGTTCGTAGGTCACGATGCCCTGATGCAACCCGAGTGCTCACACTGTGTGTCCATAAAAATGAAGGTAATCTGTCGCTCACTCTCCCTCTTAGTCTTTCACTCACACAGACACACCACCACCATCAACTTTGCTAAATTGCTAATGAAAAACATGATCAGGCAGCTGTGATTGAGCAGCAGTGTAAATCCAACTATTTTCACGGTTGTTGTGGTCGTGATAATTTTGTGAGGCCACATCGAAAAGGCTCGGATGAGCTTTCCAAAGTTCTACAAGTTGTGCCTCCATCGCTTGTGTCCAGATCACACGCTGCACAGCCGTGCTGCTCCGTCTTTTTCACCGACGTTTATGTGTTTACGCGTGAGCAGTGTGAGAAGCTCAAAATGGGCCAAAAATCGCACAGTGTGCGCCCAGCTTACATGGTTAAACTCGAGGAGACCTTCAAAGCAAAAATGAAGAAGAGCAAGGAAAAAAGTAACATCGTATGGCTCAGGGTTGCGACAGCTCTGGATCCTCGGTTTAAGGATCTTAAGTGTCTAAGCAAACCTCACAGGGCTGAGGTGTGACGCTTGATCAGCGCGTTGCCGAGGGAGAAGCAGAGGCCTGCACAGCCTGAACAACCAGCAACATATAAAGGAATAAAGGCTCACTTTTCTTTAAAGTTTAGCTCCACCTCGTTCGTCTGCATTTGGGTACGCACAACACAACCTCCACGCAGTCTACCATGGCAGATCATGACAGTACAAACTGACCAGAATGGAGCCAGCAGACTCTGCATGGAATCTGCAGCGTGCGGTTTCAGACGTTTGTCTCTGTGAGGGCCTTCACACGTCCAAACTGGGAGTGCTACAGCTGTTCCTTTGTTTTCTCTTTCACTGGCAACAAGTCCCGAGGTCTCCAGCTCTCTGGCCCCGCAGGAGGAGTGCGTGGCAGGAGAATAAGGATTGTGTGGCTGAATTCTGCGGGCTTACTCTGCTGCAGTGCTTCACTCTCTTTTTGGGATTTTCAAGCTCAACTGTCTGCGGCTGCCATGCTGCCACCTGCTCAGACACCTGCTCAAGCGCCTGCGGCTACCACACCACCATTTGGTCCTCTATGCCAGAGGTCGCAACCGCACGGCCTGCCCGTTCACGTCCTGACTGTCCACGGCCTGCATGTCCTCATACATCCACCAAACCCCACCAACAACAGCCCTTCTTCACCACTGTCGCCCTCCAGATCTGTTGGCCAAACATCCTCCTGAACTCATTCGTCGCCGCTGCTTCCTACACGATCAACCTCCAGCCCTGTTTTTCCTGTGCTGCCACTGCTTCCCATGTGGTCGGCCCTCATAACTGTTTCGGCGCAGTCACCTTGGCCTCCTCAACTGCTGTTTTTGTGTTTGGACTGAGTTATTTTAGATCCAGAGTCCACTACAGCTACGAGAGAAACTGATTTATAATCACCACAATTCTTGGAAGTCATCAAATCTGGAAGTCAGGATTCACTAGTAAATTCTATCAGGGTTCCTACTTCAACTTGCAAGCCTGGTTGCCATAACAAGTGTCCATAAAGTGTTGCATCTCTCCACAATACAAACACTCACCTACCACGATTCTTCTCTTATGCTCGTTGAGCGGCAGGTGAGCTCAGTTTTAATAATAGGTCTGGTGGAGTTGAGTTAGGAAACCCCAAGTTTAATCCGACTCACCCAAGAAGGCAAAGGAAGGGATTTCTGCCGACTCCAGAGGCTGTGTAATTGATTTTCAAATGGTTTCAGCTGAATTAGGCCACTATCAATTTTCAAAAATATAACTTCATGATCTATAATAAAAAATACATCAGCGATAGAACAAATGTTCAAAAATGATATGGAAGTTCCCTATCAGATGTTTCTTTGTCTCAGTAATTGTAATGTTCTAATCGTGACAATTGTGATTTGGGTAAATATAAATTATATCAGTAATTTGCTTATAATTCAAAAATTGATTTTGGGGAAATTGTAATTTTAACAAATTGAATCTATATGCAGACAGACTTCAGGTCGAAGTCACTGAGATTTGAACTTTTCAGTATCTGCACCCTGATTGACTTCCTCTCTGCATTCACAAGAATTTCAGAAAACTCGGCCTCTGACTTTGAGATTGAGGTAAATGAGAGTCAAACTTATCCAAGATTTTTAGTAGATATAATTATGGTACCAATTTGAATCTCCTTGAGTTACTGCGTTCACAATGTAGGTGTCCACCCCAACAGCCTTTTACGGCTGAGGGGTAAAAATCGAATAGGTGATGAAAACAAAGATAATTAGCGTGATGATCAGTGTCATTTCCTATTAGATGAAGTCATACAAGTGACCAATATCTACCATAAGTCACGACTTAGCACTACATACAGTTCGGGTGAGGATGGTGCAAGACGCTTATGTTAAGTGTGGATCTAGGAACATGAGAATATGAAGACAGTGGTGAAGTGTGCAGAAAGAGGGACAGATGGGTTTGAGGTGTGGGTAGGATTACACCATCAGCTCGGAGCCCTGTCTTGTTTGCAACGGGGATGGGCAGACCGACAGTTAAGGTCAGGTTGGAGTCTCCATGCACTGTGATGTTTCCAGACGACATTGTGATCTGTGACGAGAGTAGGGAGGAGTATTGGAGGTATAAAATGAAGATAAGAGGAATGAAAGTCTGTGGACAGATTACATGTGTGTGGAAAGAGGGAGACAGAAAGGTGAGGATGGAAGGAGTATTCAAAGCAATGGACAATACACAAGAAAGGTGAAGTGGCAGGTTAGAGTGGAAGTTCATGGTTTCAGTGAAGGAAGACAGAAAAGCGTGAGATGGAGGAAGATGATCCACTGTGGCAACCTCTAAAGGATGCAACTAAAAGAAGTACTGATCATATCTCGCTTGGTAAAATATGTTGTGCCAATATTATTTCAAGGGTGTGACAACCTATACAAACCTAAGAGTAAAGAATGTTTTTCTTGGGTAAAAGTTAAATGTCAGGGCCTTCTATGGCTGTTTATTTTAGTTGGACCGTGCCGTACACTTCGTGATGTGCTAATACAAGATCAAATTGAACCCACATAAACCATTTTAAACAAAGAAACTCCAAACATGTCTTACATACACTAATTTTAAGTGGTTTTTTAACTTGTGAATTGTAACTTAAACCTCACTGGGAGGCAGTGCAGATGCTTTAACAATGACATGAGATGAGAAAATGTATGAATGGATTAAAATGTTGTAGCAGCATTTTGAACAGATTGAGGGATTTGCAGCTCCTACAGACAGACAATATGAAAATAATGCCCTGATTTCCTCCTAGTTGGATTAAAGTAATGCACTAAGTTCACTATTTGAGATGATGCTCTTGAGTTATATTTCTTAAATGAAAAAAATCAAAAGCTGGCTGGAACTTGAAGTCAAGGACTGATCGAAAGAAAGAAAGAAATGGTTTTAAAACTACTCATAATGTGACTTAACTGGATAATGTACACTGAAAATAACAAGGGACCCTAGGGGGGCCGCAGACGCTGTGGAGGAAGCACACTTGGAGGCAGGGATTCTCTTCACCCAATGTGCCATTTATTTACAAAACAAGCCAAGCTGGGGGTACGAACAACAAAAACGAAACTTGTACAACCAAACTTAAAGCAGGTCCAAACGCTAGGCTCATGCCTAGTGGGATGCTACCCAGCCTTTAGTCTTACAGCACCACCTTGAACTCAGCATTAACTCTGCTTGTAAAGCTTAAACCCCTCCCCAAGAACAAGCCATGCAAGGCCTTCCTCTCTTTCTCACACTACACCACAAATCCTGCCAATGATTCACTTCCTTATAAACATTGAATCAGGTACTGAATCAGTCACATACTGAATGAAGCTTTGTCCCTGATCATGTGAATCTGGCTAGATGAACCAGACCACAGTGCTTCTGAAGTGGTGTGATGTTTTTTTGACACATGCGCCGGAGCTTCAGGTTCAAATGGACCAGCACTAGCAACATGAAACAGAGAAACCTCCAAACATTTTGGTAATACTGATGATCTAACAGTAAATGGTTTTGAATACATGGGCCCACTGCATAACTATTTCATGGTATGAAACTTAGGAGCATTTTATTTCACTTCCTTAGGACATAAAACAAACTAATGAAGGAATGGTCCACATCAGCATTAGGCTCACATTCATAACTAAAACAACTCTATGAGGATGGTGAGGAGTCTGCATATCGACAGGAAGTTGAGCGGCTGGTACTCTGGTGCAGTCAGCACAACCTGGAGCTGAACATGCTTAAGACTGTAGAGATGACAGTGGACTTCAGGAGACATCCCTCAACACTGCTCCCTCTCAAAATATATCAGACAGCCCTGTGTCGACTGTGGAGATCTTCAAGTTCCTGGGTACCACCATCTCCCAGGACCTGAAGTGGGAGACCAACAGCTCAGAAAGACCCAGCAGAGGATGTACTTCCTGAGACAACTGGGGAGGTACAGTCTTCCACAGGAGCTGCTGATCCAGTTCTGCACTGCAGTCATTGAGTCTGTCCTGTGCTCCTCCATCACAGTCTGGTATGGAGCAGCCAGTGAACAGGCCAGGAGCAGACTGCAGTGGACTGTACGGGCAGCAGAAAAGAATATAGGCGCCCCCCTGCCCTCCATCCAGGACCTGCACCTCTCAAGAACCAGCCAATAAATTCGATTCTGATTCTGCATCTGGAGCTCATTGAGCCTTGGTCCCTCTAGGACACTGTTATTGAGTAGGGGGGGACTCCCTCTATGCTGCTCCCGACTAGTTGTTGTCCCCCCTCCCATGGGCACTTGGTGGCTCTGACTTGGACCTCTTCATTGTGCAATGGGGGCTCTGCCAGGTGTCAGGAAGTGAAGGAATTTCTAAAGAGTTCCTGAAGAATGGATGAAATGACTTGTTTGAAATCGAGTGACGGTTAGACGCAGCCATATTGGCAATGGCAAAGCAGCTCCGGTTAATACAGTAGGGACTCAGTTTCAGTGAGTGAAGCACACTGCTTCACACCACTAAACTGCGAGATGATAATATAATCAATAACATGTTCTGGAAAGACGAGCCTGAGATCAAACTTCCTGATGAGACCAGTGAACAGAACAGCAAGACTGCTCCAACAAACCCTGGTTGGTGTGTCCAGGAAGTTCCAGCAAAATCTTCGACTGTCACACTCAACTCGGGATGAATCAGAGCTTCAATTATGAAATTATACAAGCTCAGTTGTATTTGTTCTATTTGGCCTGGCTTTATTCTGCAGTTTGTTTGTTTTTAATTTAAGACAGGTTTTCTACAGTTCATGTTCATTTAACCACTTTAGCAGTAAAATAATTTTACAGATTCATAAATGAGTGAAACAAAAGACATTAGAGAATATGAAAAACATTGTTGTGATCTTTCTACTTCTGGCTGGGACATCTTGAAATTTCGGTAGCATTTCCAGTGTGCCGTTTTCCTTGTTTGGATGGAGAAATAGGATGTATGCGTACGCAATGCTTCAGTGAAGCAGTGTACAATTTCAGGTAGACCGTGTTTACAATAGGCAGTAATGCAAAGCTGCCATTCTTACCTTTCCTAATACAGGTGTAGCTCTGGCTGAAGATGGTCTGCAAGAAAGAACACAACAAACAACAAACAATGCTTAGCATATTTAAAAAGTAAACACACAAATGATTAGTTATGCTTATAATTGGACTGAGACCAACACAGTCAACTTGTTAAAAACCACAACGTCAACAACATCATCATGAAGTGACGAGCTGAGAGTCTCCGTAATCTTCTCTGTCGTGACGGTGCACTTCCTCATGTGTTTCCCATGAAGAACTATAGTGAGAGCTCAGGTTGGTTTGTGGTTTGGGTTACATGCACTTCCATATGTTAACCACATATGAACTAAAAATGTCTCGTCACATCTATTACCACCCAAATTCATAAAAATTGGAACACTGTGGAAAATGTAAATATGCAATGATTTGCAAATCTAACCCCATCAGAACATGTAAAACACGTTTTTAAATGTTTTTACACATAATGTTCAAACTGTGACATATTACTATTGCATGAAAAGTATTAGCCATTGGTACAAAAAAGCCCAATTACTCAAGTTAATTGGGTAAAAAGTCCCCACAATCACCTCCACACTTCTGCCTTTTCTTCTTTCTAGCTGCGTGCACCCTGTTCCTGTGTCTTCAGCCATCAGCAGCACAGTTTCCATCTGACTGATCTGTTAGGAAATCTCACCTCATGTCTGATTTGGCAAAGATTTTATACTGGATACATACAAATGTTGTGTGTATCCAGTTTTGTAGGGTTACATGACTTTGCCACAGTCGTGTAAACCTGGGCCTGGCATTAGGAGTATGGTTTGTGGCACCGCCATAGCTGGAATATATACTTTCAAGGGTAAATCAACCTTTCCATTTCTCAAGGCTCATTCATGATTTTTAACATTGTATAGAGTTTACAGTAGTTACCTGCTGGGAGCAGGTTGTGATGTTACTAATATTAGGCATTACAGTGAATAACAGCTTAAGAAGTTAGTTGTCAGTTTAATTAGAAATGGCGATAGTGTAGAAGCTTCAAGGTGGAGGGGCATTAAGTCCTATGATACGGTGGGTAATGAGGACCACGTGAGACAAAATAATATGCAGCATCTCAGCCAGGGTTGCCTTCATGGTCACTACAACAACATTAGGCTGGGTTGGGACCAGTGAAGGGAGAATTAAGTGTAAAGTACGCTTTCTCCTCATCAGTTTGAACAAATCAGACAGACGCACATTCTCATATAAAACTTTGTATTCTGCTGAGCAGGGTACTCGCTTGACTGCAGCTGTTTTACAGCATGTGGTTTTCTGAACAAACGGGATCCACGTACATGACGCTTTATAATCAGTCAAGGCCTTGTAAATAAATGTATCAACAGAAGAAGTGTTTTGGCTGCTGCTTCCTCGAGGTGGATAAACAAACACGCTAACACAAACCAGCGCTCAGTACAATTAAAAGGAACTATTCAGATGATGAAATAAGAACAAACTGGTTATCAATTAAAAACACTCTAATTCCACACAGCGACAAGTATTCACATTTCTAATAATCATTCTCAATCGCTCTCATATACTTACCTTGTACAACAGTTACTGGAACTGCCACTACCATGGATGCCACTGCTGATAGTGGTGTTGGGGACAGAACTGGGGTTAGCAGGCGCACTGGACTCGATTATTCCCCGACTGCTGATACATTTGGGCTCATCCACCACTGTGCATGCGTGAGGTAGACGGGCAACATCCCTCACGTTCATCAGCAAGTTGTACCCTGTTTTTAGGATATGAACCGCCTCATCGTGGGAGATGGTCACAAAGCTCTGACCGTTGACTTCCAATATCTGATCACCCACCTGCAACAGAGAACTCTGGTTATGCACTACATGCTTATCTATGTCTTATAACACCTTCTGTACATAGTTCCTACACACCTGCATCTGGGAAGTATTCACAGCGCTTCACCTGTTCCACATTTTGTCATTTTACAACCCAAAATAAATGTAATTCATTTTTCACCTCAAATTTTCTACACACAACATAATGTGTGTAACATTTTTGCCATAATTACAAAGTGAAGAAATTTGCCTGAAATTCTTGCAGATTTCTTCAAAAAACAAAAAGCATGTAGAGAAGCATTCACAGACGTCCATAAATGGAACAAAGCTGGGACGCTCAGGAGTCTTCATAGAGGTGGCCATCTGCCCACCTGTCAGTAAAAGGTTTGGCAAAAGGCATCTGAAACAAAGTTCTCTGTTCTTCATCATCATCACCTTAAAATCACTTTAAAACAACCACAGCTGACACAAAGTGCTGTACATAGGAACTATATAATAAAAGTACATAAGATATAAATAATGTT